CTCCACCCCTACCACCTTCCCACTGGCCACTCTTGGTGTGTCATCCGGACTTGCCGTGCCTTACTGTCCCCATCTGTAAGGTGGCGATTGCTCCCTTCCTCTTAGGGCTGCAACCCAGCAAACACACACTAAGCACCCAATGTTGTTTGTGCTTATCCAGAAGTGTGACCTCTCCCCTACAACTGCACAAACCGCAAGAACCCACCAGGCTCACATTCTGGCTGGTGAGGTCCCCCAGGTTCCTAGTGGGGCAGAGGTAGGAGTGGACTAATGCAGCTTGGCCAAGCACAGCCAAGGCTGGCCTTCTTTGTTACCACCCGCAGTGAGGGTGTTGAGCAGCCTTGGCCTCCCAAATAGCAGAATACATGGCCAAAGATGAAGCCTGGCTTTGCAGCTGCCTTGTTAGTACCCTCACTGTAAGTGGGGCAGGGCTGCATGGCCAGCCCAGGGGTAGCTTCGCTTCCCTGGGCCTTGGGGCTGGTTGTGGGCCAATGTCTGAAGCACCAGTGTGGGATGTGTGAGTGCACATATGTGGCCCTTCAGAGTGACAGCTGCTGCTCTGGGCAGTCCTGGGTGTGCTCTGTCCTGACAGCTGTGTGATACAGGGTGCTGTGTGTTCCACAATGGAGCCCTCCATGGCTGCTTCCAGGTGGATGTGGAATTTAGGGGACACTCCAGCCCAATACAAATGTCTTGAGTATACATATATTTGGAAGGTAGGTTTGCTGGAGGTTGATTGTGGATTAAGAAAGAGTCCAGGTAAGTTCCAAAATTTGGGACCAAAGCAGGTAAAGGATGGAGAGTTGGTAACTAACATCAAAGTTAAAATGGGGGAAGCCATGAGGGAAGTCAGTTGACAGAGGAAGAGATTGGCTGGGTCATGGTGGACCGAGTGGGCAGCGGGACATCCATGCCTGGCATGCGGGGGGCGGTCCTGGCTGGAGCATCACAAGGAGGACAGGTAAAGTGTTGTCTCCAGTCAGCATGGAATATTGGGGCCTTCAGCCTGGATCAGTTGGCCTCTGTTCCTCTGCCCTCTCCACACATTGTTCTGGCCTTGGCCACTGTGCAGAGGATGTTGTCCCTGGGCCCCTGCAAGGTACCTCCAGGTCAGTGTGTCTGCCGGCACAGGCTGGACAACCAGCACATTCAGGTCTCTCTGTTCTCCAAGATGAACCACCCTGCCTTCGTGCACTAGTAGTACACATCAGTGCTTAAGATAAGAACATTCCAGAAAAGCAGAAGGAAGAGCCTCTTGCACTTGGGCCAAGGAGGCATGAACATCCATAGCAGCTTCCTTCTGCATACCCCAACACAGGAAACAGCTCATAAGCCCAGCAGCAAGGAACAAGAGCAAACAGAGCATGTGCAGCATGGCACCTCCCACGGTGTGCAGGGGAAACCAGGCAGAAAGGGCATGTGCTGTGTGTGTGCACATGTCTGTGGGTGTGTATATTAAGAAGGTAGGCCAGAGCACCCTTGGCTTGTTCTGAATCTCTGCTCTGTAACATGAGCTGTGTGACCTCAGGACCCTGTGCCTCAGTTTGCTCACCTGTGAAGTAGGGAGCATGATGGTTCTCCCTTGGAAGGTGCTGTGCAGATCAATGAGGTAATATATGTAAAGCAAGTGGAACAGTGTCCAGCTCACAGTAAGTTCCACATAAGTGCCAGCTGTTATCATTGTTTTTATTTTATAAAACATGAGTATGATTGCCACTTCTTGCAGAGTGCCTCTCTGTTCTTCGGTAAGGAAGGTGTAAAATTTTAGGATGCCCTTGATGGCATTCATTGTCAGTGTGTACCTCAATTTACTATACCAAATCCCAACAGTTGGAGATGTAGGTGGTTTCCACTTATTACTCTTCAGAGGTGAACATCCTGGTGTAGAAATCCTGGCAGCACATTAACAACTATTTGCTTTGGCTAAGTCCTCAAATGCATATATAACATGAGGATCTTAATACATTTACCAAACTTCATCTAGAAGGTTTGGATCTGCACCTATCAGCAAAGTTCCAGAGAAGTTGCCCCCAGGCACTTGCTAACTTTGCACTTGGCCTTTTTTTTTAATTTTGCCAAATTGAGGAGTAAAAGATTAGCATTCATTTGAATTAGTGTTTCTTCAGTTATCATGTGGGCAAGCTATTTTCCATGTGTGTTGGCCAATTATCTCATTTGTGAAATGCTTGCCCACACATCAGTCTGTTCTTTACTATTTGGATGTTCATCTTTTACTGATGTATAAGATCTCTTTATAAACTAAGGGTATTGAACCTTTGTCCTGTATCTCCAAATGCCTTTTCCCATTGTTTGCATCTGAGTTTATGTTTGTTTTCAATTATTAAGGAGTAACAAAATTTTCTGCTTTTTACTTTTTATGCAATCACTCCTGTCAATCTCTCTCTCCCTCCTTTTTATATCTTGATTCTGCCTTTGGAGCTATGCTTGTGTTAACAAATTCAAGGGGTTCGCTGCTTAGGGTGCTCTACTAAGGGTGCTCTACTTAAGAACTATGTTACCAAACAAAAAAAATGGGGGTTTGATTGCCTATCACCACAAAAGCCAAACTCAGTTGGGTGCTGATTCAAAAGGAAAAAGGTTTTCCTTTGGCTGGTATGGCTCAGTGGACTGAGTGCTGGCCTGTGAACCAACGAGTTGCTGGTTTGATTCCTAGTCAGGGTACATGCCTGGGTTATGGGCCAGGTCTCCAGTTAGGGGCATGTGAGAGGCAACCACACATTGATGTTTCTCTCCTTGTCTTTCTCCCTCCTTTCCCCTCTCTCTAAAAATAAATAAATAAAATATTTTTTTTTTTTTAAGTAGTACTAGAGGGGAAAAAAAGGAAAAAGGTTTTATTTGGATGCTGTGCCATCTTGGAGAATGGGGGACTCCATGTCTCAAAGTTCATTTCCTCTGCAGATGAACCCAGACAAAACCCTGCCATCCTCAGCAACACCAGAACAAAAGGCAGTGCCCAGAATTCACGCTCCATTTTAAAGTACTGTCCTTTGGAGCCTCAGGTAGCTGCTAAGTGGTCATCCAGGTAGCTTAGCTTGTTCCCAGCTGCTGTCTGGCTTCAGGCTCCCCTCCTGGAGGCTGCATGTGGAGCTGACGTGGCCACGACTATGTGGCTGCTAGGGCCACAAGGTCATGTGCTTCTGGATGGGAGAGCCTGCAAATGTACCAGCGAATGCTTGACCAGGTCAGAGAGAGAAATAGAGACTCCCTCCTAGAGACGATAGGCCACGTGACTGCTAAGGTCACATGGCCCATGGAGAGGCCAGACCAGTGCTCTGTCCAAGTGCAGGTCTAGAGTAGCGACTGGCGAGCAAGAGCAGAGCTGGTCCCAGGCAGCAAGCAATGAGAGTTCTCTCTTCTCCTGGGGGCAATATCTGTTTCTGTTGTGGGACAAGCCATGTGCTTTTTCAGAAGGACCAATTAATTTCCTAAACCTTCCTGTGCTTCGGGTGGGTCCACCTCCCAACCACTCCCTTCTTTCCCCAGGCTACACTGACAGACCTCTTTGGTTCAGCACCAACCCCTTCTGCCATTCTGACTTCTCTGGGGCATGTGCCTGCCTTCCCCTGGTCCCATCCCCACTCTGGTACCAGAAGGGCAAGGACAAGGGCTTTTCTCCTTATCCATTACTTTTCCTACCTTTCTGAGGGCTGGGGCCCTATCCATTCATCCCTTTAGCCCTAAGTGCTGGGCCCCATCCATACATCTTTACAGGTTTCAGTGTGCTCACTGTAAGAACCTCCCCCTATCACCTATCCCCCTATCGGCCCTGGCTGGTGGGGGAGACTCCTGACTCTGCCACCTCCATGGCTGCCCTACCTGGCTTCCTTACCCTTTGGGGCCTCAGGCCATGTTGCAGCAGCTGTGGAGGCTTAGCCATTTCCAGGCAAATGCTCTGCTGCAGCCTAACTCAACCCCTGAGGGTACAGTCTTGGCCACCTGTAACAACAAGATGTGGTTTTCTTGTTGCAATGTAGTTTTTACTTGGAGCAAGTAAAAGAGCCCAGATTCACTTCCAGAACTCTGTTTCTCCAAAGGGAGGCTTAGCCATTGCTTACATAAACTACTTAGTTAATTACATGTTGATGTTTTTCTTTGCAGTTGGCTACCCTTATCTGGTTGGGTTCCTGTCAAGGTCATTCTGTTTGCAGCTAGTCTGCAAAATATTGTACATTTTAACATTTATAGCTAGAATAGCATTTAGTAAGAAACTCCCAGACCTTGAGACCCTTATCCTAACACTGGGATACTCCTTGTATATTTGCTTTTATTGTCTCCTGATGAATGCTTCTTGGTTTTTCTTTTTTTTCCTGTGTGCCAAGCTTTGCACATACATTTTATTTTTAATTTTTTCCTAGACATATAAAACCTACCTTTTGATTTGTAGGTTTGTGTTACATTTTTCTTTTTTTAAGAACCCTTGATTGAGTGCCAGCCTGCGAACCAAAGAACCCTCTACTCAGAATTCTGTTGGGAATTTTTTTTTTGTACATCAGTTTGTCTTTAAAAAACATTCATCCATGCTGCAACTCGCCTCCCCTTTGGCCACCATGAGCTTCGTCTCTGGATCTATAGGTCGGTTTCTGTTCTTTGCTTGTTTGTGTTGTGTTTTAGATTCCATATATAAGTGAAATCATATGGTATTTGTCTTTCTCTACCTGACATATCACTAAGCATAATCCCTTCTGGGTCCATCAGGGTTGTTGCAAGTGGCAAGATATTACTGTCTTTATTGCTGAGTAATATTCTAGCATGTTTCTTTTTGCAACATTGTGGTCCTCAGAATATTGAGAGTTCAGTTAATGTAGCAATTGTCTCTGCATTTGTTCCCAGACCACTGGCTCTGTGGCTGCTACTCCTGGTCTGGGTGGCTGGTTTACTTCTGGAGTATCACACAGCCATTGGGAACCCATGTTGGGGCTCCTACCAAGCTCCTGTCCTCCAGGGTGGGGTCCTCATGCTGTCTCATCTTCTCTCTCTAGGTATGTGTACCCAAATACAGCCACCCCAGAGGGGTACCCTCCAAGTCCTTCGTGGTGATGGCGCATCTGTGGGGACTGTCATCATATTCTACTGCCCCTCAGGACACCAGATGGTGGGGTCGGGCCTGCTTACCTGTATCTGGAAGGGGAGCATCGCTGAATGGTCTTCAGGGACCCCTGTGTGCAAATGTGAGACCTGCTCCCTGGAAACACCTCCAGATCAGCTGTTGTCCTGGGTGGGAGGGAGCCTGATGCTGTCACATGGACAGCATGGTGTCCACAGAGAAGGTGCAGTGGGTGCCAGGTCCCAGCTGGGCCTCTGTGTAGGGTCCTGCTCATGGTGCTGGTGGCCGTTGATGGCTCCATGTCCATTGTCTGGATCCAGGTCCTAGCAGCTGCTCCAAATCCTAGGTCTGTCACCAACTTGGCCTGTCACTTCTAAGAGGTTACTTGTGCTGTCTGAGCTAGCACTTACCTGTTCTCTAAGCATGCACATAGCAAACCTTAAGAGGATATCCCATATGCCAAGAATTCTAGAACTGGGTTCACCGAGGGCCAGGATGTGTCAGGCCCAGGGGCCTCAGTCTGGAGGAGGAGACAGTTTTTCATTTGTTTGTTGTACAGGGTATTAAAGGATAATACCCAGCACAGCATTTTTCAAAGGGAGGTCATATGTATTATGTAATAAAAAAATGCTCAGTAGTCAAAACAGTTTAGAAAAAGCCACATTAATAGGCTGCAGGACTTTTCAGTGCTTTTAAATGCTCATGTGCTGGGTGAGTCTCTGAGAAAGAGGGGCTCTATTAGGATTAGATTCCTAGAGATACAAAACCCAAGAAAGCAGAAGTTAACCAAAATAACAGGTGCTGTGGGAGCTTTCCTTTGCCCATAGCCCTCAGATTGGGTAGTCCTAGGCCCACATATTACCCCACAGTGGAGACCCAGGCCCTTTCCATGGCTATGACGGGTGTGACTTCAGCTCTGTGATCCAGGTGATGTTAACTGTGTTCCAGGAATAGTTACTGAGTTAGGAACAGGGCAAAGAAAGCTCTTAGAAGTTGTCTCACACCCCTTCCCCATGTAAACCACAGTCCAGAACATGGCCATGTGACCACATGCATCTGCAAAGGAGGCTGGAAGATGTAGTCTTCAGTCTAAATGGCCAGTGTCCAGCTTCCAGCTAGTGTCAGGAGCTGGGGATACGAACGGTGTCTGCTACAGGGGAGAGTAGCGGGCGTTGCTTAAATTAGGATCCTGGGTCTTGCTTTCCCAGAATATCCTTTAGAACCTAATAGAACTAGTTCTGAGCCCATAGCCTAGGTCACATGGCTGATATGGAACGAAGGCCTTTGACCCCAAAGATGGGCACATTTCTTGATTTTTGCCTTCTTGAGGTGGTCCCTGAAGGGTTTTGCCAGCTTGGGGCATTGTGAAAACAGCGGGGCCCAGGCTGCAGTGTGTGTGTGAGAGTCAGAGGGTCTCACTGAACTCCCTGTCAGAGCTTTTCGCAGTGTGCTACTGTGAACTCTTACACACCCCCCAAAACACTGCTCAAACACCTCCTTATTGTGAGGCAGTCTTCCCTGATAGCACTACTCATATGACAGTTTGCACAGACCTTAGCCATAGCAGCCAACGCCTCCCTGCCTCCCCTGCAGAATGGGGTTCACTGAGGGTGGGCTGAGCAACCACTGCTGGGCCTGGGTGAGCCATGCCCAGGAGCTGGTCTTGTCTCTCATAGCTGTGACACCCCACGAGACGGTTGGCTTCAGGGTGGCCGTGATCGCCTCCATCATCAGCTGTGCCATCATCCTGCTCATGTCCATGGCCTTCCTTACCTGCTGCCTCTTGAAGTGTGTGAAGAGGACCAAGCAGCAGCACCTTGACAGGTACGGTGACCCCAGGATCCTGGCAGGAGGTGGGCCTACAGCCTTGAGCCCTAACTACTCCCTGGAGCCAGGAGCTGGCTTGGCACTGCCCAAGACGTGCTGGCACCCAAGGCCATTCTGGGCCTCCTAAGGGTATCCAGGGATGTGAGGAGTGGGGTCACCCTACCAACAGCTGCTCTCACAGCCCACACTGGCCTCAGATGAGGTCAGTCAGGATCTCCGCACTGCAGTTGGGGCTTGGCATTCTGGTCATTGAGCGCACGGTCATGGAGGGCATGTGGGCTGCAAATACGGTGATTGTATCATCCTGCAGTACAGTCTGCCTGCACACAGTGTGTGCTCCGCTGTGTTGGATGTGCAGGGCTGATGGGTTGTGGTTATCTACAGCCAGCAGGTGGAGTCTGGCCCACAGCCAGCTGCTTTTGTACTGTAAATTGTTTTGGGGGGGTATTTTTTTAATCGTGGTAAAATGTTTATAACATGAAAGTTACCATTTTAACTACCTTTAAGAGTAGAATTTAAGGGCATTAGTTCCATCCACAGTATTGTGCCACCATTGACACAGTCCATCTCCAGAACTTCCCGTGGCCTGCCTTTGAAAGTAGTTCTGGCTCCTGATCGTTGGTGACTGCTCCCATCTTCCAGTGGCAGAGCTGAGGAGTGGAGATGGAGCCATCAAATTCTCACGGTGTGGCTTGCAGAGGCTCAGGGGTGGCAGCCTGGATACTTGTATACATCAATGTCTTCCTGCATCTTTCCACAGAGCTGCCCCACTGTGGCTCCAGCTGAGAGGCGAAGACTTGGAAACGGTGCAGGCCACCTACCTGGGACTCAGGGGCTTGAATAGCAACAACAGTGGCCTCTTTGAGTCTAGGAGCCAGCCTGGCCAGGCGCATGACAACCACAGCTTTACCATGTGTGCATGGGCCTGGGTGTTTGGGGCACGGGATTGAGGGAGGCCTTGGCTTGGTCAGGACAGGGCTAAAGACCAGGACCCTGGGGGTACTGGCTGCCCCCACATTCTGATCAGGCTCACTTGGGCTTCAAATCCTGGCCCAAAAACAGGCGGATGATCCTGCTAGCACCCAGTCCTGACCTTGCACCCTAACACGCAGAACCACGTCCACCCCATGTCTTAATCTTGAGAATTCAAACCTGAAGAAAAGGTGAAGTTTCTGAACATGAGTGTTCTCTTCATCTAGACCCAGCAGGGCTCCACGGTGTGCGCATAGACTCACTCTGTCCTCCTACCTCTCTTTTTCTCCCTTTTAACACACATACACAGAGGATTTTTTTCTTATGCATCCATTGCTGACTCAAGAAGTCTAATCCTGGCTGAATGTGGGCTGTGATATTGTATATCTCCCTATGTAGTCTCCTGCTTTTGAGTACATACTCTCTCACCCAGGATCCCATGTGGCACTGGCAGCCAGATCTCTAGACTCCTTAAATTGGGACAGGCTTTCTGTCTTGGTGGCCATTGGTCCCCTACAGAGGCCATGTCCTAGGGCATCTGTCACTGGTGCTTGGGCTTTGTTTCTTTCACAGGTGCTGTGGGTGGCGCTGGTGAAGGGCAGACTGTTCCCCATGGGCATGTATACTAGGGTGTTTTAGCGAAGGCAAGTCCATGTCAGGTGATGAAGAAGGGATTCTGCAAAGAATCACTCTGCTGCCCCCAGACCTTTGACTTGGGCCTCAGCATCCAGGGATGATCTTGCTGGAATCAGTTTTTCCCATAGGGCTTACAAAATAATTATTTTAATTCTGTTGTTATTCTGTCATTTTTTTCCTACACAAAATGAGGATGAGTTCTGTTTTGTCTAACCTTTCCTTTTTATTTTGTTGTTTTTGTATCACTTTGAACTCATGGTATTCTTTTCTAAAACTTTATTTTGGGAAAATTTCACAAACACAAAAGCAGAGAATAGTGTCACGGGTCTCCTGTCCCCACCTGCCATCCTCAGCAGCCTCTACCCCCACATCGTCTGGACACAATTCCCTGTGGGCTCCAAACCTCCCTAGTGGGAGCCCAACATGCTGGCTGCTACCTACTTGTTCCCCTTTCAATCCTTTCTCCCACAAGACATCTCAGCCCATCTAGTGCTTTCTCTGCCCAGGCCTGGGTGGCTACCCCTCCATGGAGTTGAGTGGAGGGCAGCATTCAGAAATTGGGCCTGCATCACAGAGGCATGTGGCCTGTCCCTACAGGAACCTTACCAGTGAGCCAGGTGCTCGTTCCAGCCTTGGTTTCTTCACTTGTACAGTGAGCATCTTGGCAGTGCTCACCCCCCTGCCCCATTGAAGTGATTAGAGCAAGGTTAGGGCTTAGTGAGTGCCAGCCACTGTTGTTAATTCTGCTCTTAACCCTGCTGCGCAGATGAGGAAACAGACACAGGAGGTGGCGACCTGTTTGGGCTTGGCGCGGGCCTGTCTGGTCCCATATCAGCCTGTGACACTCTGGGCGTGCCCTGTGGGAGGAACTGGTCCCAACTCCCTCTCTTGAGTGTCAGACACTAGGCCTGCCTCGCGGTGGCTGTGGCAGGCACAGTGCCTCATGGTCTTTCCACATGCTGTGACAGGTTAACACATTGCTCTAGTGGTCAGAGAGCTTCAAAGTTTTGCTCAATGTACTCCCGTGTTTGTGAGACCCTCCCTGACTATGCCCTGGTTTTAATAAATGTTGGTGATTAGAGCTACTTTTCTTGACATTTTGAGGTAATCCTAGGAACAGACTGTTTAGACCAGAGAGTCTCATTTTTATTACCAAATTCATTCTTCAGAGACCCAGCACAAGTGAGAGGCGACATTTTCACAGCTGCACATCACGGAGTGTTAATACTGTGTTCCTACTCGTTGACTTAGCAGTTGTCACTAACACAGGTAGTTTTCATCAGCATTTCATTGCATTTTGATTAACAGTGAAGAAGAGCATTTTCTCCAGACCTTTGCTTACCAGTTGCATTCCTGGTTTTAGTCATTTTCTGTTTGCTTTGCCGAATAGCCTGCTGGTGTTTGTACACTGTGTGGAAATGAGCCTTATTCGAGAGTTGGCTGCAGGTACTTTCCTTTTCATTTCAGTCATGTTGACGTAGTCCTGCTCTTGCCTTTCCTTTTCATACAGTCATATTTCCTTCCAGATAGCCCCAGCCCCCCATACCCAGTGGCAGCCCCTTCCCAGTATAGACCTGTGTCAGATGGTCCTATGTTTCATTTGGGAAGCATGTCAGTGGAATAGGGGAAAGAGTTGCTGTCTCTCCTAGTAATTGGAGTCCAGGGCAAGACCACGCAGCTGCTGCAGGGCCTTCATTAGCTGCAGTGAGGCTTTGGATCTCCCAGGGGGAGTGCAGGGGGCCTGGGTCAGCATCACAGACACCTACTATTAAACCTGGGGTGTTTGTTCTCTTTCCCTCTGATGGCCAGCACAGAGCTGTGTAGGAAACTGTGTGAACACCTTCACTGAGGGCAACTTGGGGGCCACTCAAGAGTCAGCTCTAGTCAGCAGCTCAAGGCGGAAAGTAGGAGGTAAGGCTAAGGGAGCATTGGAGGCAGAGCCCCACCCCTGAGCTTCCCCACACGTCCCCCAGGCCCCAGCTCTGAGCCCAGCTCAATGGGTACCGAGGAAAGGTAACTGCTGCCTAGGGCTGCACAGCTTGATGGAGGAGGCAAGGTCCCCCAGGCCCCTGGGGCCTCTGGCTCCCAGGCAGGGACACTCTGACTGCAGCCCAGGGATCTCTGGATGTGCCATCCTAGGTAAGTTCCTCTGTTCTACCAGTTGGTAAAATTGTCATCAGCAAGGCAAGGTTTTCCCCTTGACCTTGCTTTTATTTCATAAATACTTCCCAGGACTCAAACTATGCTGGGTGCTGTTCTTTCAGATATTCCCTGTTCTAATCTTAGGGGTAAGCACTTTTCTTATCCAATTTCAAGAAACTTGTCCAGAATCACACACAGCTACAAACATGATGCTATGTTTGAACTCAGGCTGTCTGACTCCAAAGTCCACAGACTTGCTCACTAAGCTGTCTTTCCTCATCACCAATTCATTAATTGATTCATTCAGTTATCCATCAAACCAACAAATACCTCTTTCCTACTCTTAATTCCTACTGCTTCTATAGCTTTTCTGAGAGTTAGGTGGGGATGGGAACAGAGATTCAGGAAGGCTTCTTGGAGGAGGTAATGCCTGAAGGGAACAGATTGGGAGAGCCTGAATTTCAGGGAAGGAGGGAGACAGCATCTTAAGGGGAGGGAGCAGCCCTGCAGAGGGCTTGAAGTAGAGTAGCCAGGTTGCTCTCAGGGAGCAGAGGCCAGTGTAAAGGGGAGGCAGGGTGAGCCAGGTGACAGTCAGGCCAAGGTCTGATCAGCCTGGTGAATGGGTTGGTTTGCGGGTTAGGGGGTCAGGGAGCCTCAGGGAACTGAAGATGTAGAAGGGAGGTGATCCGGCCCCTAGACCATCAGAGGACAGCCTGGCAGGAGCCAAAGTGTCTCCCTGGATGGTCCTGGTCCAGGGAGACAGCCCAGCCTCTGTGATTTTCGCACACTATAAATATGCTCCCTTCCTTGACACAGCCCTGGGAACCACCCCACTCCCAACCCTTGAAACAGCTCTTGCCTCTGGAGGCAAGGTCCCCAAGACCTGGGCCTCTTGATGGCTTGCTCCTCTCAGACAGCTGAGGGGCCTGAGGCTCAGAGCAAGACACTGATGGAGGGGCCTCCTCAGGCTCGGGGGCCTGGGTGCCAGGCAGGGGGCCACGCTTGGGGTTAAATGGGATCCTGGCTCTTCCTGCAGCTCATACCTCTTCTCCCTGCAGAGACCTTGGTGAGAACACCAGAGAGCTGGCTGGTGTGGCCTGCAGCATGGACAAGGACCACTGGACCCCCAGCAGCCTTGCCTGCTCACCCCGCACCCACGTGATGGTGCGCACACTCAACCCAGGACAGACCCTGCCTGCCACAGGCCCACCGCTGGAATGCCCAGACGGGCAATGGTCTATGTCCCAGAATGGCCAGGCCTACCCATCAGCTGGCCCCCCTACACCTTGACACACGTCCAACTAGAGATTGGTCAGTGAAATAAGCTTCTGGGTTTAGGAATTCCTCAGGACACATTCCTGACTCCGAAGGCCAGGAGTGGTCCTGTTGTGGGGAGCTCAGCTGTAGCAGCTTTTATAGATAGTATTGCTTGAAACCACCACTGAGGTTAACAGGACCAACTGCAGCCCTGCTCCAGCCAGGGACCTTTAAAGAGACTGGGGACATTTTAAGCACATCTGATTTTGCATAGAAAAAGGAAGAGGACAGTCAAATTCTCAACATTCTCAGCAATCACAGAGATGATTCGTCCTCCGCAGGGCCAGCTGCCTGTACACAGGAACCCAGCTGAGTGCTCCATCCATTAACTAGAAATTTGTGGTGAAGGGTGTGAAATAAAGAATTCTCATCCTGAAAATTGCAAAGGTAAAAATCACGGGTTCATTTTTAGTCCCTGCATCACAGAACCTCAAGCATAGTAGTCTAAAACTACAGTCACTACAGTCCCTTTGCTATTCCCACTAGGGCCTCTGGGCAGCCAGAGATCAGGAGGGCCAGTCTCAAGGGGACCTCTCTCAGGAGCCCTTCCCATGGTGGCTGCGGTCAGCTGGAGGCTAGCTTTGGGTCACATGAAGGCAGGATGGCTGGCCTATATTTGGGGGTTGCTGTAGGCTGTCAGAGACTTCACAGAGTGGTGGCACCTTGAATGACCTGGGCCGCCTCATACAGGGTAGCTGGTTTTCACAGTGAAGAGTCCCAAGGGCAAACCTTGACTTTCAGGGCCCAGGGAGTCATGCGGGGCCACTGCAGATCAACATGGGAGGTAGTTCGGCCCCATTTTTGGGTGGAGGGAATACCAGACACGAGCTGGCACCTGTAGAGCCATCATAGTCCCCTAATCTGTCACTGTCAAAGCAGCTAGGTAAAGGCAGATAAAAAGATGCCACATTTTTTTTTTTGCCACCCAGCCCTGTTCCCAATGGGGATAGTTGGTAGGAGCCCTGAGGTGGCATTCAATGCACACCCACCTTCTTTGAATGGCCCCAGCCTCCATATCTCTCTCACCAGCAGAGCCCACATCTGTCCCAAGCCAGTTAAAATCTGATCTCCAGCCTTGTGCAATTTGCAGTGTGACCTGTCTGGCCATTGAAGATACTCACTAAGATTTGTCCCTGATCTTCCCTATTTCCTGCCTGGATGTTCACTGACTAGAGCTTACTTTCAGAATGACTCTCAACAGGCCACTGCCTGGTGGGCCCTGCAGCCATTTTGGGGCTATGAAGCAGGCAGTCTGCCAAAGAGGAGCAGGCAGTCCTGGAGGAGCTTGCACTGCCCCCTGAAGCCACATTCATCATGTTTTGCATTATTCACAGACATATTCTGGTACAGGCCACACAAAGCAGTAATGTGCTGTAATACATTACAAAGCCCCCAGTGAGGGTTGCTGGATGTTCCCACATTTTCAGGTGTTACACTTGGTGCTGATGTTCATTCTGCTGTGGGGTGTTGTTGTGGGTGGGTTCCAGAGTGGGATCCTGAGGCCAAAGAGTGGATATGGTGTTCACTTAGGTCTGTGGTGATTTTTACTCGGGCTCCTGGGGAGACAGACCCAGCAGGGACTCCAGGTGGGCAAGCTCAGACCCTGCCCTAAACTAGAGAGAGCAGTGTTCCTGATGTCCCTGGCAGACTTGGCTCTCCCACCTTGTCCCAGAGTGACCCTGCTTCCTGAGCTTGTCAAAAGTGTCAAGCATGGGTGTCATAACTGTCATAAATTGCTTGGCTCCTTATAGGGCTCAGCAACTCGGCCAAAGGTCAGCACTGATAAGAAAAAGCTCTGAGTTGCTGTCGTCCTCAGTACTCAGTGTGAGCAAGCCTTTCCAGGCCCTCCATGCCCCAGCCCTCGTTGAGAGGGAGGTGGTGGGAATCTAGGGGGCAAGAGGCCTGCTGTGAGTGCTTGAGGATCACTCCAAGGGGAGGCCAGTGTTTTGTCCCCAAGTGCTTGACCCTGAGCTACTAGATCAGAAGACAGGAAGACGGGTGAAGTGGCAAAAGGAGGTGGTCCCCTTCCACTTCAAATTCCATGAGCTGAG